TTTTCTTCTTTGTCTGGAATCAATAAAAAAAAACATTTTCATTTTACATAAGGAAAGTTTTAAAAGCACTAAATAGCTAAGTCCTGTGCAATTGAAAAGGTTTTCACAGAAAAACACTGGTAATCCAATCACTTTTCACTAATTCTAAAAAGGAACGAAAATTTAAACAATCCATGTTTTTGATTTCCATGAAACGATTAAGTTAAAAAAACTTACAAATATACAGCCCAACGAATAACAATAAAAAACGATTCAATGAGAAAATAAAAGCTAACACCAAATGGAGCTAACAGCAGCTAGCTTAGGTAGCATAGAACAGGGTATTTGTTAAGGTTCAAGTCCATTGTACTCCGGACTGCTACTCTGGCAGGTTCATGATACGATCGCGCGCGTGGTCTGAAGAAGAGAAAGAGGTCAAGATATAACCTTTTCACACCACTGACGTAAGCCCGACACACACAAAAGGAAAATGCGTAAGGGAAATGTCACACGAGTCGCTTTGAGCAGTGTTTGCGGACCATTTTTCGCTGTTCACGGTGAGCAAAATACTGATCAAGCGCCTGGTGTGACATTTCCCTTATGCACTTTTTATCTATTTACATCAATGTTCTATAATCAGTACTATCATTGTTTCAATATCATAACATCATTATTGCCACATGATCATGCTTCTGATATAATCCATTCTTTTTATAGGTTTGGCATTCATTTTACAACTATATCAAGGATTTGCAGAACATTGTATGATGGGCTTAATGGGCCACTAGAGCTTACCTTTAATAAAATTGATTTGTTCTGTGTTCACTGTACCATCAATTATGTAAAGATCCATTAATTCACCAAGGAACTGACTTTCAAGAGAATGTTTACTGTCTCCAAGTTCGAATGTTGATCTTTCAGACCGCCAACGTGTCTTATCCGACGACAATATTTTTGAATACACTTCTGTTCCGTTTAAGTAGAGCTTGTATTCCAAATTTGTGCTGTTCCATGTCACCGCAACGTGCTGCCAGTTTTTTGGTGTGATAGAAAAACTGGTTTTGACAGAAGGCCAGTCACCATTCTGTGTATGGCGAGAGAAAATTAGGTTCCCGTTATTCTGCAGTATTCCAAAATAGAAATTATAAGGACTGTACCAATCACTGACAAAATGTTGTGGCCTTGAAAGAATACTGTACACTTTAATCCATACTGCGATGGTGAAACTTCTGTGTTGAAGACTGACTCTTGGAATTCTTGCATAGCTGTTTATCTTTGTAAAGGCAATAGCTTTAGTGCCTGGTAAACGACCTTCGACAAATGTCGGACCTCCATGCAACCTGATTGAGTAAACATCATATACAAGTATTTCAKAAAATGTTTACAGCAGAAAGCGTTGCATCGCGACTTCGATGTTCAAAGAAAATAGTTGGGATTTAGATTTTTCTGCGACTTGGGGGCGGAGCTTGATACTGATCAGCCAATGATTGAAYGAGTTTTCGAAATGCTCCTCCCGTCAGATTGAAAGAAAGAACAAAATCCAGACAAACTTCAAAACAAAGAGGTCGCAATGCAACRATTTCTGCTGTAATACTGGTCATTTTCTAACGAGCTATAATTTGAGTTTAATAGTAACCGTGCATAGAGAATGAATGCACATGTAGTATCACAGTGAGCATTTTCTAAAGTTGTTGTATACGGCTATTTCGGAAAACGTGTTGATACTGGATACTGAAGGTAGTGTACTCGAAGACCGCACTTCACTAACGACTTTCATAATTCCGACACTAATTAGCATATCAGTATCGCTAAACTAATAACAACGTCGCTTCGCGACTCGTGCATAAATTTTGATTCAATAATTTTCAGGGGTATATCTCCCAGATTTTAACGTACTAGTTTCTTCCTTCAAAAGCTAAAGAAATGACCCCGGACCCCAGTTCAATGCAAAGGCAAGCATTTATTGACTTTTATCAACAACCATCTTAAAGATTATATTTATTACGTCATATTGACACTTTTCCCCCATCCTTTCCAACGTCAGCTCCTACGTCTCTGGTTTTAACTTACGTTAATCCTGTCTCTGATCCATTGAGACTCCAGTGTGCAAGAACGTTGAGACCTGCAAGTGTTGAAATACAAAACATGGAGGACATATATCTTAATCGGTAAAAAAAAATGATAGCCAATTCCCCTTTATTATGTTTAAAAACAAACAGTGCTATAAAAAATAGTGAATAACGTTGCCAAAATTTCAATTTTTAACTTGACTTRACAATCTWTGACTGGAGGAGGRGGCTGCTCATCTGGCTGTTCCCTCTGTTTCYTCGGAAGMAAAGAAAATTTTGCAATGATCGTTCGCGTAAAACGAACCATTACACAAAGTCTTGACCCGTGGGAACTAAATGTGACGTCACATTGACGTGTGATTTACATAGTAGGTACTGAGTTTATCAAATTTCATTATTTATCATACAATCGTAGTAGGCATTTGCGCTCATTGAGCGCCTTTAATCTATAGTGTCTTTTTCATCTTCGAACAATTTGACTCAAACAATTTTAAATCTCACTTTTATTTGGCTGCATATTCATTTTGTTATAAAATAAGGAGTTTTTAATATAAAAAAATCTAAAACAAGCAATTTTTCCAGAATATACGCCATCTCTGTATCCGCTCGCCCAGTCTGAATAGGGTTAACTTAAAAAAGAGTTAACAGGCTCATAAAAAGCGTTCGATCGTAAATTATAACCATCAACCATATCAAATAGCTGTCAATCTTAAAACTGACGCGTTCATTATGATCGTCATTTAACACCGGACATAACGGTGCTGCAAAGGSCGTTACCCTAAAACAGGAAAATTTGCACTAGCCGATTTGCGCGATAACGTCAAAATACCGAGATCAGAGTATTTAGATTACTTCCCTTTCTAATGTGGCAATTGTTTYACTAATCTCCAGAAGGATTAGAAATCYGAATTATACTCTATTCACTTATGAACGAGTATAAAACATTTATTACCTAAACTCCATTCAAATAATAAGACCATACAACATAGTAGGGGCGGGCATCTCGTTTATTCATGCCTGATAGTTCTGTTTGACAACTGAAAAGTATGCATTATACAAGTGGTCATATACAAATTATAAACGGCATTGTTTGACGACTCCAGTCAAAGAAGCTATCACTCATTGTGTTCCAAGGCTAGACGAGCTGAGAACTATGAGAGAAGAACTATGACTAGTGAAAAAAAACCCTAAGATTTGTGTTAACGATGAGATGCCTTCGAATGGCAATTCATTCATGACTCACACCTTAAATACTCTGCATATGTAAATACCCMTGGGATGGATATTGCAAAACTTCGTTTACTTAGTCACTTATACTTAAGTGCTGACACGCGTCAATACCTCCCYGTGTACATTCCGTACCACTAATAAATATATTGACAAATACGAAAATACGATAAATATTCTGTTTTTAGTGATAACATAACAAATGGTAGGCAAAGCATTCTGGTCTTGGTAGTATAAATGTGACGCCATCGCGCAAATCAGGTACAGTTTGCATCGGGATACATCTTCCCACGAGTTAATYGAAGGAAAAAATGAATATTTATCCTTTTCGTATACATTAATTTTGGATTTCAGTTAAACTCCAATTTAAATCAAAGGTCCACTTTCTATCGATGACAATTGACAAAGTTGCTAAAATTAGTAGCTATAAATACTGTCTTTATAAATTTCAGAACAACAATTTCTTTTACTTAGAAAAATCTAGCAGTCAATGATGTTATTGTTTTTATCTTATGCTATAATTTCTAGCACAGTTGATGACTCCCGGTATGAAGCAAAAYCTCACCTGTCAAGCTTCTATTCTACGTTTTCACTATATACAATACTGTGTAATTCATTTTTCTACAATTACAGGAAATAAGTAAAATTTTGCTAATATCTAATAATAAACTGACTTAAAAACAAAGATTCGCAAATAACCCCCAATATAAGATAATAATAAATTCCAGTATATTTTAAATTCCAAAAAAGTCATCTTCAATGTACTTACCATTCACTTCAGTGACTGCTGCGCCAATCAAGAAAATTGCCTGTAAACAAAATATGGAAAATTGTAAACAAGTAGCACTATTTTACTTTAGATATTCTTTTGAGCATAATTGTACTTCGTTATATAATAGGGCCTCGTCAAAGATTTATACGGAAAAAATAATCTCCTGGAAGGTTCAAATGAGGACTTTGTTTGACAAACATCAAGAGATGGGGTGAATCAGGAGATAAAGAAGCAATAAACTGATACCATGAACAGCCAAGAAGAATGCGAAGTACAAAAAAATGAGTTTTTTTTAAAAAAAGGATGAATTAAAGAGGAAAAGAGGAAAATATCAAGTGATGAATRTTTAGAATAGTGAACATCAAAATTAGACAAAGAACTTTTCTTCTTCTGAATATCTTAATTTAATTTACCCCATCCAGAAAGAAAACAAGATTGGAAAGAAGTGATATCTCATGAGAAGAAGGTTAAGTATCAAGTGCATGGCAAGAAGTTTCTAAGGAGAGAAAGAAAACAACTATTGAGGATTTGGAACATAACAGAACAACTAGAAGAAGAATGGAAGCAAAGGAAGAAAAATAGGGTTAATGGTCCCTTCCCATAACTACACTACAGTCAATACAGTCGACCAGTATGTGACGCATCTTAAATTTAGCATTCCATTCATCAAAAAAATTGATGACATTATACAGAAAAATGTGATCAAATCTGATTTCATTTCGTGCAATYAAATTAATAAAACTAACCTGGWATAGGAAGMTCATGTTTAAATTGATTAAAATGTCTTTCCTAGTGCTCCTAGTGTACTTGTTAGTGTGTCAAAATAATGACACCGACTGCTGCATGATGGCACACGCTGATATAATGAAACGGTCTCAAACCAGCACCGCAGGTGCAAAAATACAAAGCGAAAACAAGCATTTTAATTAAAAAATGGATGCGACGTCCCAAAGCTTTCTTTAAAATGAAAGATCAAGCCGCCAATGGCGACACAACTCGAAGATTGTTAGACAAGTATACCGGAAGTATACTGTGGACATAAATCTGTATGAAGCCTCAGACTTTGTTTAGACATGGTCTAATTTCGACAAAAAATCTATCAAATGAAAATATTGACCTTGAAATTTTGAATTTAATAATTTGAATGCATCCGTAACACCTTTGACGATATCGACTTATCGCTTACGCTCGTGGTTCCACTGCAAAGTTTTRAGCATTTTTGACGTCAATTTCAATGTAAATAAGAGATACAGACAATGGCAAACCCGCTGTTAACTCATTGTCGACTGATGTCGATTTGTTGATTTTTGAGCTTTTTCGACACTAACATCTTGATGAAATAATTGACTTCCATATAAGGTGCTGTCAATAAAACTATTTCGGATTTGAATTCCCTAGGGAGCATTAATTTATGCAGGGCTTTGTAAATTTAGGTCAGACCGTTTGTTYWTCGAMTGGTTGAGCCTAAATTTACCTAAAAACCCGTTTATAAGTGTTTTTTTGAGATTTTTGCTGCCACAGGAGCCCCTAGGCTTGCATCCCATGATGCATTTTGATCGATCGTGCATAGACGTTTGTTGTACCTGGTCTTCAAAAGAGGGCTGTTTAAAAATCTGCAGTGTATTTGACAAAATAAAAACATCGAGAGGACGTTCTATCAAAGGGGTTTGCAAACCAAGTGGACTTTTTGCTAGGAGAACATATTTTGACGCTACAAATTGAGATGAAAATCAGTGTACTCTGCCGTCCTTCAAACTCAGATTTTGGCATTCATTTCAAAGCAGAGTCATGTTTTGTGTCTTTTGTTTCCTCGTTGCGAAATTCTTTCAACTGTAAGCTCGACAGTATCTACTAGTAAGTTCGTACGAGCAATTTCAGGGCTCTAGCTTACCATTTCGGCAACTTATAGACTTTTGACGCATAGGTCGAATTCGACCTAAATTTCAAGGGGCAGACGGGAAAGAGTTAATTATAACACCATCATTTCTTAGTTTGAAGTGATGATACTTTAACTTTGAATGCTGACCGTTAAAATTTATATTTTGAGTTCTTACTTGTTGTAGTGTCGTCCGTGCATCGATTTGTTACGAAGGATAAAGTTTATATGAATCGATGAGCATTAAATACTGATCGACAAATGATGGGAATAATCCTTGAAATCATTATAATAGAATGCTGTATCTATGAGCCATATTGACACGATTGGTAAGAAGCTTATACAAGAACGTCTAGACCTCAAAAAATCACATTTTGTGTGTTTAAAAAGACATTTCTGTATGAAAACACCTGGCCATCTTGGTTACGGATTTCTAAATGCCCGTATGTTTACAGAAAAAATAAGTGACCTATTAACTAGTCCACCTCACCTCACACACCATCATCTATCTCCCTCYTATAAATCTTCGATTGCTTCGCAATCTTCGAGTTAAAAAGGTTATCATCAATAACAAAAATGTCTACTCGCTTCGAAGAAGAAGAAGAAGCTGCGCGCAATGGAGAAAACGGAGAAAGTCATACTTTTAAAACTATTGGAATTTTTGTTTGAGTACATTCTTATGTTTATTGTTTATTTATTTTCAAAAACAATCATAGCTTAAATTGATAATATTCTCAAGATGGAAGATAGCTTTTTATCTTTGCAGTCCTACGTCCTTAAAGACGGCGCAAAGCGCTGTAGATAAGCTATAAGAAAAATCAAATGCAGTCTCTGGCAACCAGGGTAGCAGTGCTCTTGTGGAATCTTGCTGTATTTTCATTGAATTAAGGAGCTCTATAAATCAACAACAAAAAATACATGAAATCAAATAATATAATATCGATGGCTAGCTAAAAGCACCAAGAACATCTCTTCGAGTACTTCCATTTTCTCCTAAGCCTATCGCATATCATTCTTCAAGGAAAGATTTTTATGTTTTCAATGCATTCCCAATCAAAAACAGTAGAAAGAGATGCTGGTTTTCATTTACAAGTATTGACCGGCGATATATTAAAAGTGTGAACGTGCGGTAACCGAGATCTCATGAGTAAGCGCCGTGGTTGTGTAACAACCTTGCTGGTCAATTTTATTCCCGAATTCTTTGCATTTCTCTTGCTCTTTTTCTTGAACTTATGGTTGCATAGATGACATTCTAAACACTATTCGACATCAGAAACAGAAAGACAATTTACATTCGCATATCTTACTTGAATCAAGCACAAGTTGGTCCACTGTGTCCGGGTCTGCATAAGCATTGTGTACCTTGTCCCAGGGAGTAACACTGCCCACCATTAAGGCATGGGTTTGACTTGCACTGAAATAGTTTATCCAAGTTAAAAATCAGAACGAATCAATCTAAGTTAAATCTTAACTCAACTCAGGAAGTTCTTTCGAATTCCCTTGTTACCTTTAGTGTTTTAAACAAATATCCACTCTGCATTTCTACTCTGTATTCTGATGCACGATCTTTGTAGAAGAGTTCACATTTCTTGGTCTGTGGATGATAGTTGAACATGTAGCATACATCAGGGACATGCATGAAGCAAGCATCTTTGCAGTCGTTGTCGGTTAAAGCCGTAATGGACTTTAAGAGAGGGCCAACAATAGCATGGTCTTGGATGGCATCGCTGTACGCAAGACTCCATGACGTGCCTTGAATGCATTCACTCGAACCTTGAAAAAGAAAAATTACAAAAAAAATCTTGCATAACATAATTGTAGTAATCAGAACTCTACATGGTATCGCTGTACATAAGCTCCATGAATTGCCTGAAGGGGTAATCATGTGATAAAAACACTGACTGATTGATGGTGTACAAGACCGAATTTACTTAATATACAAGTAACTCGTAAAATAATTTATTCGAGGTTATAAATGTCACGTGACTCATTACATATTCACTTTTCGTGCATGTWAACTTTTCTGATCTATGAACGATGAATGGTGATGATGAGATGACGATACACTAGATGAATGCAGGYTTACATATATCAAGACAATTGACAATTCAAACAATGGAAATGGTTTTTTTTAGATGGATAATMCTTGCAAGATCTGCCGTGCAGATATCACCATTAGAGAGTTTAAGCATCACGTTAACGGCTAACGGCAGAGCTGAAACAATGACCTAAGAATTTCGTGCCTGACCTTGTGCTTTTGGTAGTCATTTGAAAGAGCAGCTTTTCACGATTGTGGCAACCCCAAAATAACCCGCTCTCGCATTGAAACTGCAATGTTAAACTCCAAAAAAGCAGATCACGTGATCTTTTCTGCCGTTTGCCGTTTGCCGTGAACGTCATGCTAAACCTCTCATTATGAATCATTTACCTGAAACAACATTTCTTGACCCAGGCCAACCTTCTCTTCCATCGCTATCTGGAATCAACRAAAACGTATTAGTTACTTCGGTTATGTTTAGATTGACAGGTCAAGTTTCAAATCTATATATTTTACTTCGGACTTCTAGTCTGRCAGTATCATAACCTTGCTAATTTAGTTCCTTCTTCTTAAACTTGTTAAATCATTACGTTCTTTTTGGGGACAATTAAAACGCTTACAGACCAGCAGTRCTGTTTGGCCTTGACCACACTCATCATGCAATTTCAAACCACACAAAACCGGTTTAATTGTGTTAATAAAATAATGGATACTATTCAAAGAATGTAGCATAAAACGTAATATTTTGTATTCCARAACCTACAAAARCATACAAAAGAACATAAAATTAATTTGGGTCATCTTGTGCGTGGTCTGAAGGAGAGAGAGACCTCAATCAAGGATGGTAAAAACGATCTTTKCAGATAATACTGATATTGGCTTTACCTTTGATAGACTTGATTTCTTCACTTGTCACTATACCATCAATGATATAAAGATCCATTAGTTCACCAAGGAACTGACTTTCAGAMGTATGAGCACTGTCTCCAAGTTCGAAGGTTGACCTTTCAGGCCGCCAACTGGTCTTATCTTGTGGCAATATACTTGAATGGACTTGAGTTCCGTTCACGTAAAATTTGTWTTCCAAGGTTAAGCTGTTCCATGTAACGGCAACGTGATGCCATATTTTAGCAGGGATAGATATATCGGTTTTTGCATRAGGCCAAAAGCCRTTTGTTGTATGGCGTTTGAAGATGAGGTTCCCAACATTTGCTGATATCGAAAAAAAGAAATTATAAGAACTAGACCAATCACTGAAAAAATGCTGTCCATGTGAAAGAATGTTGTACACTTTTATCCAAACAGCAATGGAGAARCTTCTGTATTGAAGRCTGACACTTGGAATTCTTGCATAGCTGTTCATCTTTGTAAAGGCAATAGCTTTAGTGCCTGATAAACGACCTTCGACAAATGTCGGTCCTCCATGCAATCTGATTAAATTAACGATATATATATCTTAGATTGAGCTTAGCACAAACCTTACTGTTTTCCTGAAGACAATGGAAGTCTGAGGRGTGGCGAATAATCAATTCATTTTCATATTGCACTTCAATTGATTATTATTTCATGATCCCAGTCGCCTACTGAGAAACAAGATTTTTTGCTCAATAAGAGTGCCAGAAAGATTCGATCTAAGTGTGAGACTGACTTGAGAGATAAAGAAAAAAAGAAAAAAAAGAGAGAAAGAAATAATATAAGATATGAGGGAGGGAGAGAGAGAACGGGAAAGAAATATAAAAAAGAATTAAATATAACCATCATTTTATGTAGAACTAGGGTAGGATTTATAGTTTTGACTCACGTTAATCCTGTTTCGGATCCATTGAGACTCCAGTTTGCAAGAACCTTTAGACCTTCAAGTGTTGAAATGCACAATTCAGACATTGAATGCAAATAAAATTATAACCTTGTTCAGACACATATATCGCCCTTACAGTGGTGACATAGATAATTCAATGTGAGTAATCAGTTCTCAACGATGACATTCACAAGGAGAACTTGARGTTTCGATCTGCGACCGGTCACAATATTCTCAGAAATTTTAGCAAAGAGTTTTACAGTCAATAAAGCTATTCTGTTGTAACGTTGTTGTTCTATCATCTTATGAGCCGCAATTTCTCGACTGTGAAGCAGAACTTCCCCTATCGAGTTTTAAATAGGTATAATTGAGACGCATCGTCAAAAGTTTGAGAATATTGCGTACAGTCGCCCCGCTCAGATGCGAAGGCACTATTTCAGACACTATTTACAGACCTGTAGGCTGGGAGGGTTCGTACGAACCTCCGCATAAGCCTCAAAGGTCCGGCTTTTCTCTGTTGTGCTTTAAAATTATTTTATAATTATGAACTGCATGCTTTTGAGTATTTTGTCATTAACTGCTCATTCTAGGAGCCAGTTCTGTGCATTGAACTAATTTAGTGAAACATTTGATTTAGGTCCGCATTATGACAAATCGAACGGGCCTGTATTTGTAAATGAGTACCGGAAACTTTCGAAGTGGAAAATCAATGAACTCACCTTCTGTTGGAGCAATTAATAGAAATACCTGTATTTACAAAACAAGATACTAGTAGGTGAAGAGCACAACAACATTTTATAACTTTTTGGCAAAGGTGCTACACATTTCCTTAACCATTTAATTCAAATAGAAAAAAAAATCAGGAAAGACCAGAAAAGAGGTCCGCTTTTATATGAATATTTTAGGATCTATTTCTACAAAAATGAGACACAATCTGATCAATTTTCTAACAAACAGAGTTTTCGTGAGAACACCATATATGTTAAATAGCATGAAATCACTCTACTTACATAAAATATTATAGTCCTTTTCGTGGTTAGAAAACAAGTTGTGCGAGGAATCTGTGTTTTTGCACCAAAGAAAACTATATATATAGAATCGGAAAGCAACCAGAAAACAATCCTTTTTAACTAGAAAATTGYGAAGCAATCGAAAAGTTATTGGAGGGAGACGAGTCTGTCACTCTCTCGCTCACTCACTTTCCTGTAAACTTGGGCCTGCTTTACTTATGCTCAGAATTTATTAATTTATTATAATTTTTTTCTAATAATTTATTCGTTAATTTTCCGTAACCGGTTTTGCCTGTGATTGAATTTATTTTTTTTCGCAAATATCAACTTTTCTTGGTCTAGAACCCGAGACTGTTGCGTTGGAAATTCAGGGCACTAGCACTCAGCAACCGGTACAGTTGTACTGGACTCAATCGAAAATCGAACCAACTTTCAGATATTTAATTCACCGTTACTAACTGAGTACACATTCTAAATAGAATTTCTGCGAAAAGTAATTTATAATAATAATAATAAATCAAGAAAGAAATCAAGAAA